ATACGAACAAGTGGTTATTGGGAGGATTAAATGAGGTCACTATGGACAGTGCTTTCCACCATGCCCCAAACAAGGAACCCCTCCGTGCCTTCGTCATTTCCACAACCACAGTCAAGATAAAGATGTAGCTCGGCTGGGGGAAGCCATGAAAGGAAGAGAGGTCTCTCTTTCCTGGGGCATAACTGGGGCACAGCCGAGGAGGCTCCCTGCACACCTTTGCGGTCAGACCTGGTCCTCGGCTTCTTTTCGTCAGGTACCTTGTAATGCACAGGACCTTCCAGAAGGGGGCAGCCTCCTCTGGCTGAGCCTCGCCGTTTCCGCGGCCTCTGTGGGCAACAACTTCGTTTTGCACAGACATGTGTGTTCAGAAATCATGACTAAAATTGGGCATTTTTTCCCATTGAAATAAAACAGGGCTGCTGTCGACAGCAAATTGTCTCAGTAAGATACTGTTTGTCCATGATTTGCAGAAACTATTTTTAAAACAACCCAAATATATGTCGCCACATGGAAAACCACAGAAATTACCATTGCCCTTTCCCCCTCCCCCATCAAAACTGCTTTACTATTTCACAAACTTGGAAGGCACAGGAAATGCCCGGTGTGTTCAGCTACAGGGGGCACCATTATGGGCTAAAATTTGGTGTCCTCCCCAAGTCCGTATGTTGAAACTCTAACCCCTAATGTGACTGAATTTGAAGACCTGTGAGGACCTGATAAAGGTTAAGCGAGGTCGTGACCATGGGGCCATAATCTAATAGGGATGTGTCCTTTTTACAAGAGGAGGAGCCACTAGCCCCCTCCCCTGCTGTCAGGTGGGGACGCAGGGAGAAGGTGGCTGCTTGGAAACGGGAAGAGGGCTACACCTTGATCTTGGACTTTGTGTCTCCAAACTGTGAGAAAATAAATTTCTGTTGTTTTAAGCCACCCGGTCTGCGGTATTTTGTTAGGGCAGCCTGAGCTGAAGGACACAGGCACCTATTCATGGGAGGCAGTTGGGCTCCTTCTCACAGTATTATTGTTGTTGGTATTATATCGAACTAGTTATTTTCTTGTTAAATAAAACAAACCTGTGGGCCTTCACATCTTGCTAAAGCATGACATTCTTCTCACTGCACTTCCATTCCCTTGCTCACGTCTCTGTTGAATTTGTCATCTCAGGCCTGTGCACAGTGCACTAAATGCCAGGAACAAGCCACAGCTGTCACAGTAAAGAGAGAAAAATGACATGCATGCTGTTTCTGGGTGTTTGTGAGAGCTGTTGTTCTGTTTTTCTGTGGATGGGCGTATGAGCCTGCCTGTGAGTTGGCAAATCAGCTTGGTTCTGTGGGGTCTGTTGGAGGCAGGTTAGGGTGGCAGGGCAATGGTGAATCTGAGCATCTGTGCATTACTGAGCTGGGGCGGGGGTGGGGGGAGAGGGTCACATGGCTTGCACTTCCCTGCCGAGCAAACAGAGAACACCCAATCCAGGGACTCCATGCACCCAGGCTGGCCAGAATGCCCATGGTTCTCTAGGGCCAGAGCCAAGGTCTGGGTTCTGTACCTTGGCCTCCACCCTCAGGAGAAAGCCATACTTGGGAGCAACATTCTCAGGACCTGGCCGGGTTAACCGCCACCAAAATCAGCTCTCATGGCTTGACAACAGGCTATCCAGCACTCCTGGGGTCAGGACAAACCCTGATCATGCAGGGTCATGGCAGTCATGGAAAGATCTGGAGATTCGGTCTTTGAACTTTGAAAGATCAAAGTTTGAGTTTGTTGCTTACCAGCTGTGTGATGTTAGATGAGAGGCTCACCCTCTCTGTGCCTTTGCTTTTTCCTGTGTAAGATGGGGTTAACAAAGCTCATCTCACAGAATTTTAGAAATAAACCACTTAACCTTAAATCACCTGATATGGTGCCTAGAAAGCAGTCATCCGTCACCAGGGATGGCTGTTACTGTAAGGCAGGTGCTGGACGACTTCTGCCAAGGGCCAGGTAGTAAATATTTTAGGCTTTGCAGTCATTCAGTCTCTGCAGCCATTACGCACCTCTGCCATTGTACAGCCGAAATAGCCCACACAGCACGTGACAAGATCGACATGCCTCTTCCAACAAGCTCTATTTACAAAAATAGGTGCCCCATAATTCTAGGGTGATGCCTGCTCAGGAGGCCAGAGGCTAAAGGAGGAGAACTGAGGGGGACAGGCAGGTCTCCGATGCAGAGAGGTCCATGCAGAGCGGGGAAGGAGGCCGAGCATCTGTCATGTGTTGTTGGGAAGGGCTAGTCCAAGCTGAGAGCTCTACAGTTAGGGGCCATACACCATTTAAGGATTTATCAAGGTGTTTTGCAAGTGTCTAGGACTCCCTGCATTTGTATATAAAACTGCATGCATGCATATAGGCAGTTTTTTGGGGGGAAGAGGGTTCATGTCTTCCCCTAAATTATCTAAGGCAACTGTGATCCCCAAAAGGTGAAAAAACATAGTGTTAAATTGACTCTCCAGGCTTCAGTGATGACCGTCAGCAACCTTGAGGCCCTTGCAGATGTGGGGGAGATCCCAGGGATGACAGGCCCACAGATGCTTGGAGGCAGACTTGAGTCTTGGGGTCCCTGTCCCCAGGCCATGCCCCTCACTGCTGCTTCTCAAATTGTTCCAGGTTTCATGTTGGTTCCCAGTCTGGAACACCACCCTGTTGCAAAAACAGGTGCTCCCAGCCAGCCTCACTGACTGCTCAGGTAGTTCTGTTATTTTGTTTCTTTTCTCTCCCCCAACTTGGCAGAATTGGGGGAAAGTTTGACGTGAGTCCAGCTACCTGCCCAACCCTATAAGGCCCTCAGCCAGAATGTACAAGGGGCAGGATGAAGGACTGGCTGGGCTGTGAGGCCAGGTGGGCACTGCCCTGCAGGTAGTCACTGAAAAAGGCTGAGACTTGGTTCATGTAGCTCCAGAGCAGAGCAACTCAGAGAAGGCTGGTGCTGCCCCCACAGGCACCAGCTGGGGCAGGCACTTGTGCAGAGAGGCTGGTGGTGCCCTGATCCCCCACAACCTGGAGTCTGTTTCTTTCTCCTGTGGGGGAGTGCATCCCCTAAAGGCCAGAGCCTTTGCAGTGGGGCTGCAAAAGCGGGGGCTCCAAATGGCCAGATCCTTTAGGGGATGTGTGGAGTCCTGCCCAGGTTAGCAGGATAAAGGGGTGCAGATGCTGAGAAGGCCTGAATGTTCCCCGCCCCACAATTGCAGTGTGGGAGAGGACCTCCCGTCCAGCTGGCAGCAAAAGCCCAGGTGGGCAGGAGGCATTGGGGGATGGGCTGGCTGCAGTACAGTCTCTTCGGGCCTGAGGGGACGCCAGTGGGCAGTGTCTGATGACTGTGGGGGAGTGCATTTGGGGAGGTGGGGCGATCATAAAGCCCTGAGGAGTAACCACAGATGAAAGGATTGAGTGGAAGAGGGAGTGACTCAGCCCTGCCAGAAAGTATTTGTTGAGTGTACCTGCTGGTCAATAATTAGTCAATTATTAGCAATGGCAAAGCCTTGAACATGACCTTGAGAATGACCGGCCAGGAGCAGAAGCATCTACTCCGATTCTGAGTGGGTCTTCTGCCTAAAGCAGAGGCATCTCTATACCCAAATGCCATAGACACTGAGGGTGCTCAGGCCTCCCCCAGTTCATGCTTACTGAGCACTGGCCCTGTGCCTGGCACCGCAGGGCAATAGCTAACAGGGTCAAGCCCCGAGCCCCTGAGGGATCAGGGGAATGTCAAAATGGAAGGGACAGACCCTAAGTCACCCCACATGTCTATGAGTACTGGGATGGCCTGAGAGGATGGGCACTGTGGGGGGGAGGGGCCAGCGTCTTCTCACTTAGTTGGGTTCCGACACCTTTCCAAGGAGGCAGCGGTTACGCCAAGATCCATGCGATTCTGTGAGCAAAGCCGGAGGCTGAGGCTTCTTTCCTACTGCTTGGCGTGAAGTGCAACCCCATTGGGGGGAGGAGGGGCCAGGTCAGGTAGCATTGCTGCAAGTGGGGCTGCAAAAGCGGCCCCACTAGTGAAGTTGGTATTTGCTCTCATAGGTCTGCCCTCTGGGAAGCCAGTCAGGCACATCCGTCCATACTGGGTGGCAGTGAAAGAAGACTCCATTCACATGTGTTCTTCCATTGGTGAAAGGTTTTATATGAGGCTACGCTCCCAGACTTCAAGGTTACATGGGCCAGGGCCTAGTGGATCCCAGGGCTTGGGGCCTACAGGGAAACCAGGGGTGGGCTGGAAGTAACTTAGGTAACTTGTGGACACTGAACAGAACCCACTGAGGCGCTGATTGGACAAGATAAGGACATGGGAAAGTGAGTGTTGTTAACCATGTGGTAACTTGGTGGAACACCACAGGCAGAAAGTGCAAAGGTCCTGTGGTTTTTCTGTACTTTTTCCTGTAACTTTTTAAAATAAGGGAAGGATACACCACGTCCTCAATACAGAATTCAAATTCTGCAAATGAAGCCCTAGCGATCCAGAGCTGGAGGAAAGCTGAAGGGAAGTGCATGGCAGGTGAAGGTGTCTGCCCAGCCCAGCCACACAGCTTCTCATTAGTCCAGCAAACCCTTGCTGAGTGGCAGTATGCCTGGCCTGATGCTTGGTTCCCGGGATCCAGGCCAAAGATAATATAAGACCTCTGTCCTCCAGATGCTCCCCAGCTAGGGAGCAGGACAGAATTAGGCTTGAAACAGGAAAATTCTGGCTCCCAATCCCTGCTCCTCACTATTACCCAGGTCAAGTTGTCTGATCTAAGCCTCAGTTTCCCCATCTGTAAAATGGAAACTGCATGGCCTGTTCATGTTGATGTGGGGATTAAAGGGGACCACAGACACTGGCAGGTGCAGCCAACTCCATAACCAGGGTTGGGGGTCACTTCTAAGTTCCTGAGCTCCCATGTTTAAGTTTTGTGGAGGTTAGAAGAGACTCCCTTTGAAGAGTATTTTAAAATCTTTGCAGATTAACATGTATCCCACTTAACCCCCATTCCCAGGGGGTCATCATAACTATAACCTAACGATGTAAACCTCCAGCTTCCAAAGACTCCCCCCACCACCCTTCAGACACGGCTCCCAGGCTTGGGTCAGAAGCATCACACCGCAGACATTCTGTGGTCCCCAGGGTCTTTATTTAGGAAGATAGAAAGCATCTGCAGTCAACAGGCACCGTGCGGCGGGGAGGGTGTGATAGTAACAGTTCAGTTTTCTCCATGTTGTCAGGGGGAAAGGGGTATAGAGGGAGGAAGAACCCTCCGAGAGTCTTCTCCAGAAAAAAAGGCACTGGCGGGGGGTGGCCACCCTGCTTCTTCCCCAGTCTGGGGCCCTTCCCAAACCAGGCACCTGGTAAGACACACTTGGGCTTGACCGGATGCGGAGGAACTCAAAGCTAAATATAGTTCAGGGAGAAAAGAGTCCATCTCCGGGAGCCAGGGCTGCTTCCAAGCTCGTCCCACCAAACAGGAAAGAAAGTCCATAAAGAAGGCAAAGTCGGAAAGAAAGTCCATACCGAAGGCAAAGTTTTATGAACAAAATCTAGCCTTTCAGCCTTAGTGTTTTGTGCAATTTTAAAAAACCAACAAAATAAATATAACTTAAAAACGTCTTACATGACACTAAAAGCAAGTTTAGGACTCACAGCTGAGAAACCTCCTTGAATGCTAAGCAGTGCTGAACACCAAGAACCCCCTAGGGCCCCGTCCTCACTTCAGCAAAGGAAGGGGGCTCCCTCACCTGTATGCAGGTGTGCATAGCATGCCCTACCCTCCTGACACCTGCACAGCCAGGACACAAGCAGTCCCTGCTGGGAGCTGGGTAGGTGAGGAGGTCTTCTGGACCACCTGGGCAGGGGTTCTGGGACATTCCATTCAAGACCCATTTATCCCACTAGGAAAAGCAGTGGGAGGACGAAGGCGAGGAGTTGAGAGAGAGCAAGCCTAGAAGAGGGAAATTAGCATGGTAAATACAAACCCCACCCCAAGCCCCTAAGTCACACAATGACCCTAAAAAGATGCTTTCACATATTCAGGAAACCGCAAAGTCCTGCTGCTAGAGCCTCCTGGGCCTCCTTGAGTAAGCAACTCATTTGCTAATATATTAGCACACTGTTTGCAAACAACTGGTGCCAGCTTAAAGTGCTTGGAAAGTTTGTTCTCTTAGGAGACTAAGCTGGTCCCCTGTAATTTTTGTTCCTAGCATTAATGAACCTTTTTCACAGATAGAAAGAGAATGATCACTTTCGGCCAGCCCATCGTTGTAGGATCTTTATGTCTGAATTAATGATACGCTTTCCTGCAGACAGCTGAAGCACAGGCCACTGCGGCCCTCCAACTCACAGGTAACTACAGCCCAGAGCCCCAGGCTGGCTGTGATCCCTCAGGGACTTCTGCAGTCATAAGGTCTCCAATGCTGGGCGGGGGCGTGACCTTTAGCAAGTCAGCCTACACAGGAGCTCACTGCTGTTTTGAACAAGAGCCAGGAAGTTTCAAAGTGATTTCCTTTTAAAAAATCTGTACTTATACATCCTCATGGGTCCCACCCTCCACCCCCACCAACAGTCACTCACTCAGTGTGTGAAAGGGGAAACGGAAACGTCACGTGGGTGAGCTGACAGCCCCCCCACTCCCAGGCCCTACTGTGACAGGGGGCGGCCCAGGAATCCCCACCTCCAGACTGGCCTCTCCAGGCCACACCTGGGGGCACTCTCTCTGCCATGTTCCACAGCAGCTTCCTTGGAGCAATGCACCCCAGGGCCTGCTGGCTGGGGAGCAGCCCAGTTCTCCAACCATGCCTATAACCCCCACAGCAAAGGGGAGCTACTGGGGGCACAGCTCCAAATGGTCATTGAGCCGTGGGTTTTGCTCTAAAAAGTCATGCAAATTATACATTCTTCTCAATAACATAGACTTGTTTCACAATTAAAATAGGGCTAATAACTGGTTCTCCACAATGCCCCCACAGCAATCTAGAGGCTCCAGCTAGAGATGCCTGTAACATCCCTGACACCCACCACACACCTGGAAGCTACCTACCATGTTTGGGAAACACGGGTCTACGCCCTTCAGACTTAAGACATTTCAGGGGGAACTAAAGACACTACCATGTTTGGGAAACACGGGTCTACGCCCTTCAGACTTAAGACATTTCAGGGGGAACTAAAGACACTAGCCTGAAGCCCTGCCTGTGACTGCTGGGGGCTCTGGACATGATGACAGAAGTCCAGGTGTGCAGGGGGGGCCTCATTGTACCTGGGAGCCAGAGGAGCAACCTCTGTAGGGACTTACTTTCTGCTGGTGTTGGCTATGCCCTGGTCCACACTGCCTAGGCCCCTGGACTTGCCAAAGCAAGGCTGGGAGTGGGAGGCACAAGTGGCTTTAGGGGGTGGGAGAGTAGGGGGGTGAGGAGGAGGCCATCTCTGGAAGTTTAGGTTTACTAGTCTCCCTCTTAATTAATGGGTGATAATACAGAGGAGGAAGACAGCTACTGCCTGCCCCCTCCTGTAGCACAGCCAAGTTGGCTCCAGACCTTTTCTGGCTCTTGGGTCTGGCCCAAAGCTAAAGTTTTGATACCAGATGGGTGGGACTTTAGAAATCCTACAAAGGAAGCCCTGGGGCTGCAAAGCAGAGGGTACTTTACTCATGGTAGACATATGGTTCACAGTGGGTTTGTGCCCCAACTACCAGCAAGCCTGGCACCTTCAGACACATGGGGTTCTTACCCCGCCCTCCAGGGCCCCCAACCCAGGCTTGGAGGATGGGGCAGAAATGGGCTGTGCTTGGCAGCGGTGATAATGGAACCTGCCACCAGGGGGCAGCAGACCCCCACGGATAGCCAGTCAAGAGGGTGTGGGCTCGGCTATTAGGGTCCCTCTCTGTAGCCTGGAACTCCGTGGCCACCTGCACCTTTCTCCAGATCTAAGCCCAACAGATCTGACCCGACCTGGCACTGGCCTGAAGCCCTGCCTGTAACTGCTGGGGGCTCTGGACCTGATGAAAGAAGCCCAGGTATGCAGGGTGGGAAGCGGCCTCATGGTACCTGGAGGCAAGAGGAGCAGCCTCTGTAGGCCCTCACTTTCACCCCTGCCCACACTCCCAGCAGCAGAGCCGGGACATTTCTCTTCCAGCAAGATCCTAGTCACAAAGAGAAGTGAAGTCCCACCACTGGGGCCTTCAATCAGGAAAGTAGCTGCAAATCTTGTCTCTTCTACAAAGTGTCTTGTAGTGCAGTTTGGGAGGGTCAGTTCTGGGGCTTGAACCAGGTAGAAGTGCAGGAAAAAATTAAGAAAGAGAAGGGAAGCAAAGACAGAGGAAAGGAGGCCGGGAGTTGGGGAGAGGGGGGGAGTGCGGGGCCGCCTCAGGCGGGCGGGGTGCCAGAGCACATTTCCGTCAGGATGTCTATGAGGTTGTTCAGGCCCGAGAGGTAGCCATCCTCCCGGTTCCCTTCCTGCCAGGGGACGTCATGCTGCAGAGTCTGGCCTTGGGGCAGGGGTGTGGTTTTCCCAAAGTCGATCATCCACACCTTGGCCTGCTCCTTCTTGTCGTGGATGAAGAGGAGTGAGCTGCCGATGACCTGCAGGGGACAGAGAGATGAGGAGGGGACACTGGAGCCCCTTCCCTGCCCTCCATACCGCAACATGGCACCTGAAGAACCTGGGAAAGCCTGAGGCCGGAATGAAAAATGGGGAGAGCTTGGCTCAGGCGAGGCCCGTCCAATTCTGCAACTCTGTCCTCTGTTCTCATCTAGGCAGGGGTCCCCCACCAGTGACCATGCTGGGGAAAGCACGACCTCTGTAGTCAGTCCTCCAGAATGGTGACCGCTCTCTGGGTGGCGGCAGGGAGGACCCTGGGATGCAGACCTTCCAACTCCAGCCTGGACACTTTGCATATGTCAGGCCACACCTCAATCTTGGGGCCTCCTAGATCTTGATTTCTCACAAACACCTGAAGTAAGAGCTTTTGTGAAAGGGGAGATGTCAAGGAGATTCTCACCCTAACTATGGGGGCAGATGAAAGAACCCTGTGCACGTCCAAATGCACAGCGGGGTGCAGGTGTTAGCCACAGATCGCCCCATCCTGGACAGGTGGCTGAGGCAGGTTCTGCCAAAGGTTTCCCCAGGGCAGCGAGGGCACCAAAGTGCACTTTGGTGCCCTCGCTGCCCTGGGCTGGATCAGAGCAACAGGTTGGGAGTAGCGCCCTCTCAAGCAGGAACACATCCCCCAAGCCCTCTCCGGGGTCACCTGCATGGGGCCAGAAGGAGACTGAGGGGTCGTGGGGAGGGGCTGTTATAGTGCTCAGGACCAGGGCAGAGGAGGGCTGACCCTGGCCCTCCCCTCCCCAACAGCTGACCAAGCCCAGAGAGGGGTCTTTTCTTCCCAGGTAGAAAACAACAGAAGCCTCAATTAATTTGGTCTCCAGCTCTCAGGCCTTCCCGGCCCAAGGTAACCAGGCAGCCCCTGTCCTCCAGAGGAGGGGTGAAGGGAGTCTTGGCAGGCGGCACAAGGACCAGGCATAAAGAAGGCCCAGGCGGAGCGGAGGACCTGGGGACACAGGCCTCAGCAAGGTCAAGGGAGTAAAGGTTCCAAGGACACCTGCACTCAGTGCAGGGACTCAGGGAAGAATCAGGCCCAGTGTGCCCTGTGGGGGTCCCCTACCTTGGCACACCCCCTTATCACGGTGGCTCCATTCAACACACCAGCAGAGCCAGTGCACAGAGTGGGATGGGCATCCTGGCTAAGGGACAAGTCGGGGATAAAATCCAAGGGCAAGGCAGTGTGTGGTCTGCACTGAGGTGTCATGAGAGCCAGTAGGGCCTGCTCCCCCCTTGGGGAAGCTCCCCTTGCCTGGTAACCCCGGGACCACCTGCCTCCAGTCCTCCTGCTGGATCCACAGCCCTCTCTGGGCAGGGATCCCTCCACACAACACCACTCCGAGGTTTTGCTTTCCTGAAAGAGCTCCAAGTCTCAGGGAATGGGGAGAGGCGTGCCTCTGCTGCACACGCACCGGCATGGTGGTGACATTCCTGGCCGATCTTATAAAGCCTCCAGGGATCCTGCTGACAATTCTAAACCCTGTCTTTCAGGTCTCTGCTGCTTGCTGGCCTGTTCCCAGTTCCCCAGATCCGTGTTCCCAGATCCGTGTTCCCAGATCCGTGTCCCCAGGGATCCAAGCTGCTCCAGGACTACTACCTGCAAGACCTGCCTTCCTAAAGATCTCGGGGTGGGGGGCTCACCTAGATGCTCAAGAGAGCTTCTGCCTTAAGACTTTTGGGTAACGTGGGATAGAAGTCCTGTCATATCCCCACCTGGAACAGGCGAGTCTCAGAGCTAGGAAGGAGCTGGGGTGAGAGGGGCGGCTACAGATCTGAGTTTAGGTCCTCAGGACAACCTGCCTGGTCATCTGTGGGAGCTGGGTCAGAGGCCTTGGGGCATGGCTCTCACATCCAAAGGGTCTAGGGCTTGTGAATGGGCAGGTCTGAGAGTGGGCAATGTGCCCACAGCTCGGGTGGGCAGGCCCAACGGTCAGGGAGCTCTTTATCCAAGAGGACACAATAGCTACCTCGTGACACTTGAAGAAGGGAGAAATTTCTAGGGTGGCGCGAATGTCCTTCAGCCGGTCCCGGTAGGCGATCTGGAAAAAGAAATAGGACCAGATTTTTAAACATTTAGGGGTGGGGTAGATTTTGAGTTCCATTCAGCCCACTAGGGTCACCAAACATCAGAGCGGGAGAGACCTTAAAACCTGATGTTTTATTCCAGTCTCCTCATCTAGACATGAAGAAATGGAGGCCTGGAGAACATGGGGTGGCAGGTCTCAAGGTCTTGAGTTTCTCCACGACTCTGCTTTGTGAGCAGAAGGTAATGAAAGCAACAGCTCCTGCCTGCAGCCCTGGGAGTCCCTCCCTCAAGGCTGGGGCTGTCTGGAAGGCCAGCAGCTCGAGAGGCAGCATCTGGAGAGCTGCCTGCCATGAAGTCTCCCAATACAAACATCAGTGCCTCTGGCTTTTGAAGGGACAGATTAAGAGCAGGAGCGCCACCATTCTCTCTGCAGCGGCCTCGCTGGTCCTGGGGGGTGCCTGCTGGAGAAGCCGTCACCCAGGCACACTCGGTGGGTCCTGCAAGGCCCTGCAGTGGTGTCACTGCCTAGAGCCCGGCACAAGAGTCCGGGTGACCCAGGAACCAGAGAACTCAGGCTCTGGAAAAGCTGGAGTGCAGGCCCCATGACTGAAGCCTCAGCACTGGTGAGGCGCCAAAGAACAAGGGAAGCCTCCTTTGTCAGGAGAGGAGCGGAGAGTGGTCCTCAGGTCCAGTGGGCACCGAGAGTCCTTGCAGAGAGGGCTATGTGGGCCCTGGGCCCAGGCGTGCCGGAGTCTCCCAGGGTGCCCTGCTTTTAGGTTATGGTGGCACAACACAGCCTTTGCCAGCTGGGAGGGTCAGGGTCCCAGGCCCAGTGGTCAGAGCGCCTGTCCAGTCTGCCTGCTGCAGCAGCAAACAGGCAATCACTGTGTCATCAACTAGCTTATCCACTCCCCTGGGGCTCAGAGACAGTCGCTCAGTTCCTTTCAGAGAGGGCAATGTGAAACCCCAGAGCCCCTTCCCTCATCAACACTGCAGCCTGGTAGAGGCCTGGCCAGGCCTGGAAGACATGGGGCATGGGGTGCAGGGAGTGGCAGGTCCACCTGCCTGAAGTTCAGCTCCACCCTTTCCTCATGTCCTTGACCTCTGGGAGGGCTCTTTTGTAACATAGGGACAAGAATATCTACCTCCCCTGCCCTCCTGAGCTACTGTGAAGGATGGATGAGCACTTACTAGCCCAGTATTTGGCAGGCAGCGGATACTGAAGAAATCCAGCAAATATCCTCTTTTAAGGGGATGGGAAAGGTTTTCGGGAGCTGTGAGGTGAAGGCTAAGGGAGCGAGTGAGTGCTCAGATTCCCTGTTCACCCTCTGAATGGGGCTGCCAACCACATCACCTTCCTCTTCACCTTCCAAGGAGAAGTCTGGGTTTTCTGTGTGGGCAGCAAGGCCGCAGGGCTGTGGCCCAGCTGTCTAGGGCTGAGCAAGACTCCCCAGAGGGACAGGTATTCCTGCCTGGCTGCCCCGTACCCCACGGCCCAGCTCTTTCTCGGGCTCCAACTCACCAGGATGTTCTGATTGTCTTTAGTGAACTCTCTGAAGGCCTCGGTGACCTGTTCCCTCGTTTTGGTTTTCTTGAAGTCTCTGTTCACAGAGCCATCTTCCTTCTGAGGAGGGAAAGGCGACACCCCCGCCCAGGGAAGGGTCAGCAAGGCCCACAGGCAGACACTGCACCCACCCACCCACCAGCCCAGAGCGGCCAGCCCAGCCTCAACCCTGAGCCCTGGGCAGCGGGCTCCCACGTGGGGCACAAGGAGGTGAGCGGCTACAGGGCCCGGACAGGTGGCGGCACAGCAGAGGGGGCCGTCCTGGGCGCTGACCGCGGAGAGCGGAGGCCCGCACTGTTGTCCAGGCAGAGTGAAGAGCTTTAGCACATGCCTGGAGGTGGGAGGGGGCTTGGGCCAAGAATGGAGAGCAAGTCTGTGGGAACAGCAGGGTCTGGGGACATGGCTAGGTCTCGGCTTCACTCGGGGTCTGGTCTCTGGAACCGAGTGCCCCAAGGTCCCTGCCATCCAGAGACACCCTCCCTCGCTGCAGACAGGAGGGGAATGGCCTACCCCAGGTCTCTTGTGGGAGGATCCCTGAAAGCTTAGTGCTACTCCCTGCCCCCACCTCCCCCAGTGCAAGGAATCAGTCCATTTTCTTAGCCCGGACATGTCTAAGCGGTTTCAGGGCAGAAAGCAGGGCTCACTACACTAGAGGAAACCTGCTGCTAAAGGGACAGAGGGAGAGATAGCAGGGCCCCACCAGAAGCCCCCAGACTTGGGTCTGTGCACCACCAGGCTGGAGATCAGTTGAAACACTGAAAGAGAACTGTGGGCATAGGGAGCAAGAAAGGTTGGGGAGGAGAGAGCTGGGGTAGCAGGGCCCCACTCTGAGGGGAGGAGAGGGGTGGCTTCCCTCAGCCCCAGAAGACAGGCTGCCTGCACACACCCAATGGACAATGGACAGAGGCCAGAACATGCAGCTTGCGGGCAGAGGTAAAGGCATAAGTGGATCATTTCAAAGAGATAAAGAAAGGAAAATGCACATTACCGGAGCAGCATGTAATCTGTATGGGGTCTGACAGCTGGATGCCAAAGAGAGAAAAAGGCTGGTTTCAGAAGACAGGGAAGGGGCACATGGTTTTTTCAGCCCAGGGCTCTTAAAGAAGTGGTCCCTGGGAAGGTGTCACTCCCCCTACAGCCTCTACTCTGCAATCACCCAAGGCAGACACCCACACCTCAGCCATCTGCAGAGCCTGCTCCAGCTGCAGCTTTCTGGGGAGTTGGGGCTCCCAGTGCCCAACTCTGACCCCAGGGCTGGACAGTGTGGGCCAAGAGGAGAGCAGGTGATGGAAACCAGGACCACTGTGGGGCCATCACCATCTATGAGCTCTGGAGAATGGCTGCCTGAGCCCCTGGGGGTCCGGCGCCTCGAAGTCCTGCTCCTGGGGGTGAAGCCCACACCTGAGCTGTTTCTTCAAGTCTAACAGCAAGGGAGGTGCATAGCCTTGGGTAGAGGAAAGAAAAGAGAATGCAGTGGTCTAAGATCATGTAGTCTGTCCAGAAGTGATCAGTGACAGGCAGGAAGGGTTCCTAGTCCTGGCTGCCTGGTAAGAGCCAGGGTTACAGCCGCGATGGCAAAGGCAGCTGCTGTGCATCCTCCTTAGCCTGGGTCTCACTACCAGCCCCTGGTTTTCTGGCAATGAGCACTGGCATCCCACAAGCTGACTCCAAGGTGGCCTCAGCGTTGGGCATTCTGGGCTAGGGGTAGAGTCCTCGGCAGAGGACCACTAGCACACACAAGCTCCAAGGCCCAGCCCCCTCCGTGGCCATGCCACCTGTATTCAGACTGAGGGGTCAGCCAGTTTCCTAAATGTCTCTTCTGGGGCTGATACACATACTCTGGGAGGAGGAAGTTTATAGTCTCTGAAGGGTCCTGGGAACAGCCAGGACCCCTGCAGAGGTTGCTAGTTGACCTGAAACTTCCATCCCTCCCCACACCTGGGAGCGTCACCCAGGCAGCCTCAGGTCACACCTGCTGGCTCACCTTGATGCCCTCGATCCTGAACCCCAGGGTGGCCGTGGAACTGATGGTCTCCCTCCACTGCATGTACCGAGGCTTGGTCACTGCCCGCTGGGCTTTCTCCTCCTCGGTCGGGGCCTCAGGATCCACCTCAATCATCTTCTGGTACATGTCCTTCCGGAGGCTGGGCTTCTTGCGGGCCTTGGTGAGCTCCTCCTCCAGGTAGGTCCTGCACCGAAGGTGAGGCTATGTCAGAGCCACTGGCTAGACCTCCGCCTCTGGTGCCTTGCCAGAGGGCCACAGCCAACCTAGCCAAGTCATGCTGATCCAGGACAGATGGGGATGGGGCTGGGGCTTGAGTCAGGAGAATAGGGGTGGGCCTTGCTGGGTGGGATCAACTTCATCCCAAAACCACTGAGCAGACAAAGCCTAAGGAGTGCTTCCTTCTGAGGACACCATCATAGGTCCCAGCAGAGGAGGCAGGGCAGCTCAGCGGCTTGTCCTGCTGTACCCCCGCCCCCTCTCTTATCATGCTGGGGTGAGAGGAGGAGGGTGTGCTGTGCTGAGGGCAGGGTCCACTCAGAACCCAAGCTGTCCCTGCCTGGCTGCCTGGGACCTTTCCACAAAGTCAGGGCTTCCGAAGTCAGACCTGTATGGGTTGGAGAGCTCGTTCTAGCCCCCCAGCCCACCCATCTTCCTAGTTCTCAGGTGACCCAAAGGGCTGGGCCTTAAGCATCTCTGATTCTCTCCAAAGAATAAATCATTTTGAGCACAAAGGTTAGGCCAGAGGTGGCCTTGGGAGGGGCCTCAGTGCTGGGTGGAGAAGCCCAGGATGCGAAGGGAAGGCCTTGGGGTCGCTTGACCTGTCTGACCACAGACCTGCTTAGCTTTCACTGCCTCATGGATACCAGGCCTCGGCCAACCTTTGGGTCCTCACACCTCAGCCTCCAGCCTGGAAACATGTCTGAATTGTTCACTGGCTTGTCCTCTGCACAAGCAGCCTGGGCCTGATTGCTGGATTGGCAGGTCCCCCAGAAACAGGAAGAACTGGGCCAGTAGGACTTGAGCAGCCCGAGCCTGGCTTGAGAATCCCTGGCACCTGGCTGCCTCCCTCACTCTGTCACCAAACTGAGGTGGGTAGAGGCATGACAGCATGACACATCACACATGCCTGTCCTCTTCTCTGCTCCCCTTTTTAACCTCCCTGGCTCCCCCACAGCAGTCTCAGCTGCTGCCAGGCCTCTTCAGGAACAGCAATCGCCAGGCCTGCTGCAGCAGAGGGAAGTCAGCCCTGGCTCAGCGTGGGTGGGAGCCGCCCACTAGGCAGCCTGCTGAGACAACAACCTGGCCCCCCACACTACCCCATCTGTCCCTGGGCCTGGCTCCACTACTTCCCACTTTCCATACCCACTTTCAGAATAGACTGACCATCAAAGCTATGATATTTTAAAAAGATGTATCTCTAGAAGCCACTGTATTAACTGATAAAGAAACACTCAAGCCCTTGGGAGTGAAGATGAGTCTGGTCACCTACTACCTTTCAGGTGATGGAGACTGTGAGGGGGAGGGCCTGGCTGTGCACTTGCACACACACACCTTTGCACTGAGTCGTTTGCATGGCGTGGCCCTGGCCAGTGTGTGCAGCCTGAGGCAGCGGCCCATTGACCACTCCCCATGCACTGCAGTGGGCTGCAAGGCGGTGGGTGGACACACTTCTGCAAAGAGCTCTTAGGACCTCCTTAAATGGGAAGCAGGCTTTGATGTCAAATCCCTTTACATGGGGCTTTCTCTCGAAGGGGTTCCCACAGCAAAATCCAGGCAGAGTTACTCACCTCCTGGTGCAGGAAAGAGGTTGGGCAGACATGCCCAGGATAACCAGCTGAATGGTGGGGTTGGAGGTCAAGGGAGGCAAGTCACAGGGCCTCCCCATGAGGGCTGCCTGCCCACCCAGAGGGAAGGGCAAACCTCCCTGTCACGCGGGAGCGGAGCCTCTGGGTAAAAAGGCCACTCAGAACAGGGTAAGGGGGGTGCTCCTCTGGGAACGCCCCTCCTGGCTTCCAGGGGGCAGAGGTGCCCAGCCCCTGGTCTGGATATCAGGAAGGCCCTTCTGACTCCACAGCAGGTGACATAACACTCTGATTTACAAGATGTCCCTCGTTTGAGACATCACAAGAGGCTGCATCCCCTTTTTGGAAGCTCCCATCATAGCTGAAGCTGCACTTGCTGATCAGTCCTCCCGCCACTGTGACAAGTGCAAACCCCTTGGGACTCAGTGTCTGTGGTGGCCCTGGGCTCCAGCCTCCTTGACCATCACGCATAGGTCACGCTGCGGAGCTCGGGAGGGACTCTGAGGCCAAGTTTTCTGGATCAACGTACTTGGGGAAATGCCACTATCCCGGCAGGGACGAGAGCCCTGCAGAGCCCCTTGGGGAAGTGCCGGCTGCACTCAGGCTGGATTTGCCTTCAGAGGCCTGATGCAGAGGCAGCTGTGCCACCGCCTGGCTACACAGCACTGAGCAGCCCCTTAATTCTAGTGTCAACATCTCCTCCTGCTCACACTGAATCACGCCCCACCTGCCTGAGGCATGAGGAGCACAGAAGGGGCCATCCCTGGGTTCAATGAGAAAAGTGGGGTTTGAGTGGGACTGCTTGGGCCTTCAAACCCCCTCAGCCATCCAGAACAGACACAGGCTTCAGTCCCGAGTGCTGCTTGTCAGCCTGATCTCACCAGTGGGCCAGGCCGGAGAAGCCTAGTGTCTACAGGTGCCATGTACACACGCTTGGCCTCGTGGTGTCCTCTCATCCCTTCCTTCTACCCTCAGACCCCGCCCAGGAGGTGCTAAACCTGTCCCAGCCATGGTGGTCACTCTGGGTCTCTCCTGAGAGCCCTGGGGTGGGGCAGGACAGACGCTGTGGGAGGCAGGAGCACAAGAGCAGAGGCGGGGTGGTCTGGGCCCCAGCAGCCTCCCAGGTTGAGACGAGCACATGAGCACCAGGCAGCCTGACCCCGGGGCTGCCGCCTCTCAGGACAGCCCGGTCATGTGTTCTTCAAACAAGCAGTACTTTTTTTGGCCACGGTCTGAGTGAACACCAATTGGAATATTTTCCATTTGTTTGTGCTGCCGCCCAAGCCCTCGCCCCCCCAGGCAGGCTGAGTCCTGGGGCCACTGGGGTGGGAGAAAGGACGCATCTCCCCTTGAAAGGGCACGTCCCGGTGCACCGGGGAGAACCTCCAGGGACGGAAGTCAGAGCCTGAGGAGCAACAGAGGCCAAGTGGGGGTGCTGGGACAGTCTGGCTCCTCTGCTGGCTGGGGAGGGCTTGGATGGGTGGAAGGAGGGAAGCCATGGGGCATGAAAGAGCAAACAGCGAGACGCGCGTATGTCCCCACCCCGCTGTCCCTGCCCTGAGGGCAAGACTGATGGAACAGGGGTCAGTCCTTGAGCTGGGTCTGATTTTATGACAACTCTCAGGAAGAGTGAGGGGAAAGGAAATCTGGGCCACTGCTCTCCTGGCCTTCTCTCTCTCTCTCTCTCTCTCTCTCTCACACACACACACACACACACACACACACACACACACACACACACTCACTCACATGCAACCCATCTTTCTCAGTCTCCTCTTAGAAGAAATCAATTGCCTAAACCATCCAGAGCAGACACAGGCTTCAGTCCTGAGTTCTGCTTCTTGAGTTTGAAAGGAGCTGACTAAACTGTGCAGCCAGAACAGGGCCCAGAGCTCAGGACGGCCATGTCTCGGGCCCTCGCTGTGCAGCCTGTCTCCTGCCCGCTCTCCCTGTCTCCTCTCCCCTCTGGGTCTGAGCCTATCCCTCTGGACAGATGGCTCCTGTGAAGGGAGGGGGCCAGCATGGAGAAAGCTGGGCGAGATGCCTCTACAGCGAGATGACTGGGAATGGGTCCCTGAAGTCCACCTGGCCCCCGGGTCTGCCCTTATACACACGAAGGTCTGGGGACAGCCAGGGAGGCCCAACTTCAGGAAATCCTGGATGCCGTTGTCAGCATCTGCACGCCCAGGCCTGGCGCCGAGGTGAGCGAGTACTCGGAGGAACCTGGCTCACCTGACGCCCATCTTGCAGTCCATCACACAAGGCGAGTCGAAGTCGGCCAGCAGGTCGTCCATCTGGTTGTAGCGCTCCCCATCCTTCACCACGTCGCCATGGTAGGCGGGCACGAAGGGCCTCAGCACATCGGCCATCAGCCGGTCCAGGCAGCGCTGCTCAGACTCACAGTGCTTCTTCAGGATCCTGCCGTTGGCGGCCGCCTTGAAACTCCCTGCACAGCAAGGGGGGGGGCCTTGGTCCTTAGCGGCTCCTCTCTCTGAGCCCCCACCCTGCGACTCTCTCTGTGCCAGTGCCTGGCCTCTTGGGGACGCTTCAGTGTGTGCCCAAGTTCCGGTCTGTGGACAGAGCACTCCGAGTCCCAGTGCCCCCACTCACTGGCTACAGCCCTTGGGCTGGGTCCCCAATCTCTGATCCTGGGCCCCTTATCTGAATATGGGAGGAGCACCAGACCCTGAGGGGTCACAGGGCTAAGTGGGCTGTCTGTGCCGGACCTGGTCACTCCTCTTTCTATTTCTATTTCCACTGCACCCCCATCCTCAATGGCACTCTGGGCTGTGCTCCTTCCCAGCCACACCCTCAGGGAAGTGTTCAGGGAAGGTACAGGCTAGGCCAGTGTGGAGGAAGATATTAAAAGAAACATGCTGGTGTGAGTTGGAAAGGTCAAGTCCACAGTGGCCCCTGGAACATCCCTGGAGGATGATGCACGCCAAAGGGCATGCGGGCTGGCCAGCTCGAGGGCCTGGCTTGGGTGCCCGCCTCCCTGTCCCTGGCGGGTGAAATGGGTGGGTGGAGTACGTCATCGTCCCCACGTCACCGGTCCTAAGTTACATTTCCGGTAATGCTGTGACCCCAGGACCATGTGACGCAGGCATACAGTAGGTGCTCAATGAAGAGGTTAGCATTGCCTCTTTGTCCAGATGACGAATGGTGGGCAAGCTCTAAGACTGATGACTTCAAATGGGTTTTTTGTTGTTGTTTTGTTTTTAGTTAAATTGGAAGAGAAATTAAGAAAGAGAGGAAGATCAACAGAGACAGGATGGGGACGTGTGTACTGGGGGGAGGGCTGACACAGGTCAGGGCGAGGACAGTGGTCTGCATGTGCTCGAGGCCGTCGTAGGGCATGTCTCGTGCATACAGCTGCAGCGGGACACAGGGTCTCAGAGATCCTGTTTGAGATGTTTCACCCAGGAGCCCCCGGGCTCAGACCCTCCCTCCCACATGTGCTGACCGTCTCCCCAGAGAGCCCACCTTCCCCTTGGAAAGTGGGGAGAAATGGAGCTACCTGCATGTCCTGCCAGCTGGATCCAGGGGTACTTCTTCTTGAAGGACATGACAAAGGGAGACCAGTGCACCATGTTTTTTATTTTCCTCCATGACTTGCTCTAGAAACAAGAAAAGGAAAGTCACGAATTAGAAAGAGAACCACTACTTTGTGGTTAGGATGAATCCAGAGCATGCAAACTCATTCAAGGAGCCACGCCGCTGGTTCCAAGGCCCTCACCTCCTCTGCACCTGCGCGTGTGTGCATGGGAGATGCTCTGGCCCCTTTACAGACAAGCGAAATGCCCAGAAGCAGGGCACCCCTGGAGACAAGGGCGAGACGGGCTCAGGAGGTGGGAGGAGGGCGAGCCTCGCCTGTTCTCAATCCAGGTTGAGGCCATCCTGTGCCCCTTTCCCATCATAAACAACTAACCCCACATTGCCCTTCTGTATGCCCTGTCTCAGGCCTCAGTTTCCCCATCTGTCTAGTGGGTAGCTGGTCCAGCAGGTTCCCTGGTGATCTCACACACCCCAAAAGCAACGGCCCCTCCCGGGAAGGCTGAAGAGAGTCCCTCTCAGCTGTGTTACTTCAGGCTTTACCTGTAGACGTGGATGCAGCAAAGGGCTCTCTAGCCTGTGACTAATTTGAGGTGAGATTTTAAAGGGCAGCTTTCCCCATCCCCCAGCTTTCGAGCACAAGGGGTGAACAGGCCCACAGAGCTGTCCTCTGTACTTCTCCTTCTCAGAATGTTTCATAAGTAAAATCTCTCTCCCTCTCTCCTTCTCCCTCTCCCCCCCTCACCGTGTGCGTGTGCGTGTGTGCGTGTGTGTGTGTGTGTGTGTGTGCGTGTGTGTAGGAGGCACTCCCTCGGGCAGAAAGGAGAGCTGACATTTATTGGGTGCCTTCTTATTTATATTCACAACAACCATTGCTATTTCCATTTGTAGAACCCGAGCCCCAGAGAAGGAAGGGCTCCAGCTGACATTTAAGCCCTTACCTTATGACTACTTTAAGAAAAATCCCTTTTCCCCCCACCAGTAAACATTCCTCTAGGAAAAAATACCTCTCCGTTCACTTTGATAAGACGGATGTAGAAATGAAGGCCGAACGTCCGCAGACACACGCGGCCCTGAACAGGACAGCACACGTTTCTGAGAAAGTGGATCTCCGGCCACCGAAACCACGGAGCGAAAAACACCAGGTTTGTGCTGGGAAGAGGGGAGGGAGGAATCCTGCCCTGGCCAGGGAGCCCCAGAAGACGTGCGTCCTCATCCCTGCTGCTCAGTTGCTCTAGAGACTGGATGAACTCAAGTTGTGGAGGCTGCTGGAGCCCAAGGTTAAATGAAGGTTAAATCTGCCTCCTTTGTTTTTTTTTTCTCTTTGCTGAGACTCAGCGGCTCTGTCATCAAGTTTCCAAGTTAAAATCTGTTGAAGGAGAATTCTTCCCTGCTAAATCTGGCCATTTTTATTCCTGGCCCAGAAGCCTGCAGCCCACCTTCCAGCCCTAGCCTATCCTGAGGCGTGGCAGCACTCTGCCAGGCCATGTGACAATAGGGCCGGGCTTTTACTGACAAGGGTGTTTTTCCTAGATCCTTCTGATGGCGATTGCCAAAGAAGGCTAAGGAAGGCTGAGGCGTTTCTTATCTCAGTCCCCAGAAGACTGCAGAAACAATCAGGGAAGACAATGCATTGGGGCCACAATGGAAAAAGTTAATTGCATGAGATGAGCCAAGCAGTGGCTTGTGTGGACTCATGCAGAAGACATTAAGGTAGGTCCAGAGGAAAAGCGCGCAGCCAGTTACCATGTGCTGGTCACGTCCCTGCACAGAGAGCTCAGAGTGGACAAGGGTCTGACACATTGGGGGAAGGGGGCAATCCAGGGCTGAGCCATCCCGTGCCCCTTCCCTGTCATGAATGACTAATCCCACACTGCCTTTCTACATGCCCCTTCCCAGGGCCTCAGTTTCCGCCTGTCTAGTGAGGGTTGGATGCTCCAGGATGCTGGGAAGTGATCTCACACTCCCCAACAGCAACGGCCCCTCGGGGGAAGGCTGAAGAGGGCCCCTCTCGGCTCAGTGTGTCACTTCACTTTTTATTGGTAGACATGATGACAACAGAGGACCCTGGGAGCACTCAAGGTTTCACAGGATTTCACCTGGGAGCACAGGTTTCGTGGTCCGGGAGTGGCTGGGCCAAGACTGGTGAACACTGGCAGCAGAGCCCTCAGGAGGCTGCACTCCACAGAGGCAGTCTGCAGGCAGACTCGGGGAGAGGAAAGACTGTCACGGGCTGGGGGCCCACAGGGCAGAGGCCGGAGACTTCAATTTGGAGCAGCTAGGACCAGATCTGTGGAAATGGGGGTAGGAAACCGTGGAGGATAAGCAGGCAAGACCAGGTCTGGGCTAGGAAGCCTGGTCTCAGAGAGTGTGGGGTGCCAGGGGCAGGTCAAGCTGGGCTTGAGTCTTGGCTCCATCTCCTTGATGAATGACAAGTTCCTGACTCTCTTGGGGCTCTGTTATCTATAAAGTGGGAGTAATACCTGGACTCCAGATCCCAGGAGGTAAAAGTTACCACAAGACCGTGGGGCCTGGGCCATTTGCAGAAGAGTCTCAGATCTCTGAGGTCATGGTGGGTTAGCCCCAAAGTTGTCCCTGGGGCATCGGTCTAGAGCTCAGCAGCCCTGTGGCCATGAAACCTAAGGAACAGCTACCACAGATCCCCTGTTGGGGTGTAGCTCTCGGGCTCCACAGCGACCCAGGAGAGGCAGGAGGAAGCAGAGCTGAGAACAGTGAGGCTCAGGCCCAGCAGGGGCATTTGAAGCTGTGAAACCTTGAGTGCCCCAACCTCTACGAAGACCTGCAGCCCAGAAAGGAAAGGGGTGCTGCGGGGTGGGAGTCCTCAGAAGGTTCATAGGTCCAAGAGCCTCCCAACATCGCTGTGATCCATGTCTGTTCTGCTTCCCCTTCCCCACACCTCCTCCATGGGGAGGCATTTTTTCAACATGAAAAGGGGCCCCACTTGGCCAGGATCGCCAGGGCCCTCCCATGCGAGGCTGCCCTGCATGGTCGAGGGTGGTGGAATATTCCACTTGTGCAGGTTTGCTCATCAGGAGACATCTCTGCTCACTGCTGGCAGCAGCGCGCAGGGGTTTTTCCTGTGGTTTTTAAATAGTAGCACCCAGGCAGTGCCTAATGTCACTGCCAAACATTAAACAGAAAAAGCACTTCCAGGTCCTGGTTCAGGCCCAGGAAAGAGGCGGGGCATGGGGGGGTGCGGGGGCGGGGAATCTCTCCCCACCCCTGCCCATGGGTGTAGAGAAAAGGAAAGAACAGGAGTCAATTCTCCCAGTGGCCCAGACCACAGCAGCTATTCAGAAACCAAACCCTCCAGTAAGAGCTGCTTTCCAGGCGTTGGGAAGCAGGTCAGACTAACAGTCTCTCCCCAAGCCCCTGGCCGGAGGAAGCCATGGTCTTCAGAAATAGATGTGAGGCCTCCTCCCCCTTATGACAGGCAACAAGGTCAGCAGCCTGACACCCTGGAAGAATCCGTCCCCGGGAATTGCTCACTCTCAGCTCAGGCGATGCTCAGCAGCCTCAGTCACTTCTCTGAAATCTGACCCAGGTCTCCAACTTATCAAGCCAAGTTTTGTGAAATACAAAAGCAGTTCTTAAAGGCCGTGAGAGTGATGTGGCACGCTCCCCTGGGGCAGGGCTGGGTGCCTACTGATTTCACTGGCCCTGTTCCTTTATCACCTGCCAATCATCAGGGGCATCTGGACACCTTCAGGTCCCTGCTGGTTTCTCTGGGCTGTGGGATCCATATACGTAAATCTGAGGAGTTGGCTATCTGATTTGGGCGAGTTGTATTCCTACATGTTACTTATTCACTCACAGATCTGGGGGCCGGTGTGGGAAAGCTAGGGTGTTCTTTCTAAACCTGCTGAGTTGCCATGCATAGGGAATACTCTCAGAACTCACTGCAACCTGACTTTTGTTACCCCTGGGAGCTGGGAGGGCTCAAGTCAGCCTGGCCTGCCTGCCTCACAGGCCTGGGTCCTGCATCATCATTTACAGGGCTCTTACTTAGTACCAGGCCTCATTTCTGATCTTCACAACAACCTGATGATCGACAGGAGTGTTTTCTTTATAAAACGAGACTCCAAGACTCAGCAAGCTAAATTGCACTCCAAAGTCACTCCATTCTCTCCCCCTGCCAGTAAGTGACCGCTCCCCTGGGGACCTCGACTGGATTCACCCAACCAGCCCACCAACTGGCCCCCAATGAGAACCCCAGACAGGTGATGGGAGACAGTAGATCGGGCAAGAAGGACAACAGGATTTCTTCAGGGGGTTCCCCTGGGCCACCAGAACACTGGGCTCGCAGGTGCTCTGCTCAGGGGCAGTTTTCTGGCTGGCAGAGGAGCCCAGCGCCTCTGGGAGACGTTCCTCAACCAGCTACCAAAACCCCACCTATCTCCATTCCTGGGCTGGGCAGGAGCCACTTTTGGCTTAGTTACCAGATCCCGCAACTCAGCTCCGACCAGCTACAGGCTTCTAGACTGGCTGGACTCTGCACTTGGGACATTCCTGAGAGCACTTCAAGGGAAAGTAAAGTAGCACGAAGCTGATTACCTGCCAAGCAGGTAAGGGGCCAGGGGGTGGGCTGGAGACACGCTTTCACCTCGATTCTGTGCTGGCTGCTTAAGCCAACTAAAGACCAGAAGTGAGGGTTTTTTTAGGTAACACCTTGGGTTTATGGGCTTGGAGGAGACCCAGCTACACAAATCCCGAGATGACCACACTCCGGGGTTAAATAAGCATGGGCTTCGGTTTTGCTTGCTCTAGCCCAGCACGTGCCAGTGCTTTCTCATGCCGGTTACAGTCCTGACCTGGCTTTCTAAGAGGTGGGGTCTCGTGCTGTACTCTGGCTGCAGAGGGGAAGGTAGGACCCCAAGTCACCCAGAGTCATTTTAAAGGACCAGAAAACAATCAGAAATGTGGAGATGTGGTCCTTTAAGAGTGGGCCTCACAGGGTCCTGGGCACTCCTGGGTTGCTGAAGTGGCTCTGGGAGGATTCCTCCCTGGTACCTGATTTGACAGGAGCTAAAATATCCAGAGAATG